GAAAACAGGGCACCGGAGGGCATATTAATCATGTGACATTTGGAGCTTCTCCCCCTCCTTCTACCTTCTACATGCTAAACGTCACGTGTGAATTTCACAAACCTTGATCAAATCCCCCAGGCGCCCTGTTTTCACCGTAGTCCAGCAGGAGCCCATCGAGCACCCTAGGCAATTAGCAATATCAATATTCCATTTCTAGATCTGGAAAAAGTACCTTGTAGAGGAATTTGGTGCATTGTAAAAGAATGCTGAAAAAGCAGCCACCTATCTCAGAGGCTAAGCTCAGCCAATCAGCATGCAGTTGCTTTTGAATTATACAGTATGATTGTTTATTGGTTAACCTAAAACAAGCTTCTGTGCCATCACTATTTAACCTTTAGCCTTTAGGTTGAAGAAGAGTGTGAGTCGTGAGACATGACCATGAGTGAGTGCTGAGTGCTGATAATCTAATTTTGTTCTTTTTTTAGGTTGAGATCAAGATGGAGCCACTTGAAAAACTGGACGAAATATTTGAGCTTGACAGTGACCAAGAGTGTGACCTGAGACCAATTGATAGTGATGACAGGTCAGCATGGTGCTGGGTTACTATGAGTTATGTGGGTTGGGTATGGATTACTTACTTACTTACATGGATTACTTGTTAGTTATCCATGGGTTGGGGGTAAGCTTTAACTTAAGGCACCTGCTGTTCTGTGCTGCAAAATGGCAGATACCTACTATTGCCATTTATATGGGATCACAGTCATCAGCATCACTGCCATCAGTAGCATTATCATTCATTACTATCATCATTATGATGGAATTTATAAAAATGTCATGGTCACAACTCACAGCTGGTTGGTATGGATGCTTGGGAAATTTGGATGCCTTTGATCTGTTTGAATTATTAGCTAAAATTGATTTTTGCTGACTAGATGCAGTCACAAGCACAAGCTGAGCTAATGTTTTAATCACAACACTGGTAAAACTGTGCTGGATTTTATACTTAAAGACTACCTACTCCAAGACTAGGTAGCACTGTCATCAATAACCAGGAATACTTTATTTTTCAGTGATGATGAATTTTCTCAAGATCTTGTGCAGCGTCTTCAGCGTCTGGACAAGCAACGTCCCAGATCAAGGCAGCAAGGAGGTGCCAAAAGTAGGCTTGCCCTGCTTTTGTCTTGTTTTCATATCTTCCATCCTTTATCATGCAGAATATCTACCTTTCTCATGACTAATTTGTCATGTAATTTTTCATTTCAGTGTCAAACTAGGCCAGTGTCAGTGTAGGTAATCGTTCTGTAAACTTGGGCGTGCCTTATCCCCTATCAAACGAAATACTTTCAAAACTTGCAATATAATTGTAACTGGTGACTGAAGGTAGGCGCAGGTCTCTTCATGTTAACTTGTTTCTCTTGTTTCCCCAGAATCCAGATTTTTCTTTGTACCCATCAGTGTCTCGCACCAATGCTGGGATCTATATTTTTCACGTTCAAATGATTATTACCCTTTATGCGTCGCATCTGCATGTTCAATGTTTCTTTTTCTAAGTCTTTTCTCACACTGATCTCCTACCTTCCAGAGCCCGTTGCGGTTGAGGATGAGTTCGAACGGGCCGTGAACGCCGAGCTGTCAGCCTCAATGGTGGCGCACTGCCGCCGCCTCGCGCCCCAGCTCGTCAGCGACCGTTCCCTACCGGCCGCTCCGGCGGAGAGCCGGGGAGACTCAGCAGCTGAGACTTCCCAGCCGTCCGCCACACCGGCCGCCGGTACTGCGTCGGCGAACGGCGCCAAGACCCCCTCCAAGGGAGAGAAGAAACAAGGGGAGAAGAAACAAGAGGACGAGAAACCGGAACAGGAGTACTATGACGATGTGTATTTTGATTCCGATGACGACTCTGAGCCGGGAGATGACGTCAAAAGTCCGAGTGCGCCAGCGGATACGGCGACAGTAGCCACCGTCGATTCCAAGATGGACTCAGAATCTCCTACAGGTGCGTATTTATTCGTTATTATTTTGTTTTATCTAGGGCGCGTTCGCAGTCTCCTCGGGCGAGTAAAATTCTACATTGTCCGGCCAATTCCGTTCGATAACCGCAGCCAAGCCCCCGCTGACCTCGAACGCCATTGGCCGGACGACGTACAATCTTCGTCGTCCGGTAGACTCCGAATCCGAGGTTTGTGTTCGTGTGCTGACTGAATCCTCTTCCTACCACTACCTGGCGGCGGATGCTCTAACTGCTTGTTCGTCATCTCCCCGTCAGATGGCAGGGCGGCGGGTGCGCCGGCGGCCGACCCCGGTAGTAAGCGGTCGGAGCGGCGCCGCCGCCGCCGGCCGGTTCTGTCCAACGATCAGCTGTTGTACGACCCAGAGATGGACGAGCGGGACCAGCAGTGGGTGGACCGGCAGCGGCGGCGCTACCAGCCGGCCGCCGGCAGGTAGGCAACGGCTTATAGGCAGAAGGCGCCGGCTGACAGGCTTATAGTGGACCAAATAGGCACCGGCAGCGGGCACAGCCTGTCGGGAGGGGCATGCTCTCCTAGGAAGCGTTCGAGAGCTTCTTGGAGGCTGGGAAAATTGTGGTTAGAATGTTGCCATCCGTCCTTCCTATCGCCGTTACCAATTCGTCCGCATGCTAGTTCGCACTGCCTTGCATATCCGAACAGGCGGTCACCTCACTCTGACGGCGGTGGAGGGTGGGCCTCTTTCGACCATTGCTGGGTGATCTGCCCCATCTGGACAGTCATGCTCCAGCGGAATGGTCTCAGCGTCTGCGGCGCACCAGTCGTGGTCGAGCGAGCCCAATGTCTCGCCTCTGTTTTTAATTCCATGACTCTGAGAGTCGTATTTTACCAAAAGGGGCTAAAAAAGACACGTTGCCGATTTAAATGGCTGCCTTTGATAAATTATGTGTGTTGAAGGAAAGATGTACAGGGTGTAAAGATGTACAGGGTGGTACTCAGTATTCACCAGACAACGGCTGAACTTTTGTTAGTCTTGGGGTCCGCTTACTTCCGCTATTTGAGCGTATCATCATATAAGCATTCGACACCTATCGTATATGGCGAAATGATTACCGGTCTGTTCATGCTTTGCCACCTTCTTTGGCCTGAAAAGATATGTTATATACCCAGTGATTGACCCCCCAATTATAACTCATCTTTTTGAAGTTATCGGCATTTAATTCATGCGTAGGGTACTTTGGCTGCATACCGTCATCGCTATTATGAGGCACGTTGAAGTCACATTGGAGTCACAATAACCCTGCACTGATTCACGGTTACCACGCCCAAATGTCTGGACACTTGCAGTGGTTGCACTGTGGTGTCCTGTAATCGCTCGGCTCTCCATGGCCTGTCATTCAATGGTTCCTGTGCTACAAACTGCTGCGTGATTCTGATAAGCCCGATCTCCTCTCTGAGAACGCATTTTGATCAAGGTTTTATTTGATGGAACATGAGCCGAAAGGTCGACTCGAACTCAACGTTTCTGAATTTTTACCCTGAAATGTGTCTCTGCCTTCTTTTTCGGTTTGGTTACCGTGAACGTTTGTTTTCCTTCTTGCCACGCTTATCACTTTTACCAATATTTCAAACAGTTACTTATCTTCGATGTCAAATAATCATTGTTCTGTGCAGCCGACTTTCATTTGCGCACCGCTCCTTGCCCTCATCCAGAATTCAATCAGCCGTCGGTCGACGGGGCCGGCGGCGTTCTGGCTACCGCCACCGCTCGGTACTAAAAGTGAAAGTTGCCGCCCATGCTCCAGAAGCGAGAGCAAAACCCGGCAGAGGTGTTGCGCCACATAGTGATTAGACGCTATTCGGTTGTGGGTCCGAGGTCTCTTGGTTCTGTATCATCTCATGAAGCTAGGATATGGACGATTACTGGACGATGACCGTCGATCGTCCATATGCAGCAGGCTGTTTGGCACCGTCATATTTTTGCGAGTACGAAAATACTTTACGCTTTTAGGAGAGGTAGCAGAGTTGGTGAAGAGGGCGCGGATAAGCCATTCGCCCTGCTTTCGTAACATTTGCAACGTAACATTCATACTGCTAGTGGCCCATTGCTTTGTAGTCCGACATGTAAACAAGTCTGGGATTTCACCAAGCCAAACTCGACTGTATGCTGGGGAGTTTTCTGACCGTACCATTCCCGACAGCTCAACTGGAAACCTACAGTCGAAGCCCACTAAGCTGCCGCACAGTGACGCGGTGCTCAACTGTCCTGCCTGTATGACCATGCTGTGTCTCGATTGTCAGAGGTAAGCGAACGCGTTCCAAACACATATCTCATTTGTATTCTATCATGAATTCATCCTTCTGGCTCACTACAAACTCTAACGTTATGTGTAATGAAAGAATTTGTTTTCTTCTAAGTGTTTTCAGTTTTTTAGTCGACCCTGATCGGTCCCTTCATTTTCTTCACAGACACGAGCTATACAGTAATCAGTACCGCGCCATGTTTGTCTTCAACTGTGAGGTGGACTCGACTCAGGCGCTCCGGTATCGTCTCAAAGAGCCGCCGAAGCGGCGAGGACGGCGTGGCGCAGTCGAGAAAGAGTCCGACGACCGCTCCTCGCCGGCTGACTCTCAGGAACTCTTCAATCCCGTTAAATGCGCCACTTGCAAAACGGAGGTGGCTGTATATGATAGCGATGAGGTGTATCATTTCTTCAATGTGATAGCGAGTCACTCGTGAAGTCATTGTTGAGTTATGATCTGTGACCGATTTTCTGTCGGTACCCGTTTCAGGTGTAGCCCTCGTTTTGTATACTGATTTACAGTTGTGTCCGTCTGTCTTGTGTCGCAGGTGGAAATAATGAAGACTTGAAAATATATGCTGCTTTTTTGTAAAAACTGTTCCCGAACCTATAAAATAACGTTGCGAAACGTGGATGCTTGAATGTTTTGAAAATGTAAAGCGACCGAGTGGGACTGCTTCATTTTCCCGCCCTGCGCGAAACTGTGATGAGACATATGTGTAATGTCGCATTAGATCATAAAAATACACCATACAAGACACAAATTGTATTTATATCATTGGTCCCAAACGTATTCGTTGAAACGATCTGCCTTCAACGTTGTATCAATATTTATATAAATAAAATAAGGAATAAATTTGTGCAAATGAATGCAGAACACGAATATATCTGACTTGGTCATATCCCTTAAGTCAAGTTTTATCACATAGTTATACACAAAAGCATACACGCCTGAGGATAGCTAAATAGTTACTTCAGCTATCGTAGATAAAAGATCCTCACATCTAATCGCTGTCGACTTGGTCCTGCAGGTGTCGCCATAATTATTTCGCTCACCACCGTACCTGTGCTGGGGTATACCTCACTGATATTCGCCGCGAAATACGGCAATATTTTTGTCGGTTTCAAACAGCTTGACCTCGAACAGCGTGACGTCGGAGGGCAGGAACGGCTGCAGGCTCTCCCAGATAAAGACGGCAATGTTCTCCGCCGTTGAGACAGTTTCCCTGTGGATAAAACATCAACTTGTTGAAAGGAGACTCATTAAATTACCTACATCAAACATGGGCACATCACACGAACACATCAAGCTCGGTGGTAAGACTTGCCAGTAAGTGAATAGGTATTTCAAAGTTCCTGCGCATTTTTAGAGTTGAGGCCGATGGACAGTGCAAAATCCGTTTGCTTTGTGCATTTACTACTTCATGCAACACAGCAGTTGTGTGCTCCATTTTGGCCTTAGGGGCTAAGCTGTAGGTAGCTAATCTAGGCTACGCAACTAATCTAGGCTACGTTGCCCGTTGGCAGGGGGTAAGTGGTTGTGAATAATTAAATAAATAGCAAAGGCTATAATTGGGTCAATTATTAGCACAGCCGCCCTCGAATATTTTTGCGAAGGATCGGTTTCCAGGCGATTTTGTGAGGACTTATGAAGACGCTCCATGTCGCCTTGTAAATCGGCTTATTAATGATTGCCTACACCAGTAAAACGCCTTTTGGGCGAAGAACGAGCGAGCGAGATAGTGAGCCCTGCACGTGCGGAAGAGCGAGAGGGTGCCTCCAACGGGCTTGCGCAAAGCACCCTTCTAACCGGTCGCTAGCGGTGTGCCAAATTTGAACGCAATCGGCCCAGCCGTTCCTGAGATCTGGAAGCGGCATTCTGCACGTGCGCACGTGCAAACGGGGTCCAAAATGACTTTTGCACGGCACCCTACTAACTGGTCCCCAACCGTGTACCAAATTTGAGCGCAATCGGCCCAGCCGTTCTCGAGATCTGGAAACGCCCCCTGCACGTGCGCACGTGCAGTAGCACCCTAACCGCAACACATGGGAATGCATTGCCTGGTGGGTGCCTACCTGTATGCCAAGTTTCAGCGAAATCGCCCCAGTAATTACCGAGTTACTGAAATGGGAACAACTTTGGCACCTCTTATTGTTGTATTTTGCACGTGCACTGGGGGTGACCCCTACATGCATCGAGAGTATCCTATTTTAGGTAGAAGGGATGCTGCTACCCTACAAAAATTACCGCAAGTCAATCGCCCAAGCGGCTGCTGAGATATGAGCCTCTCAAAATCACTACTTTTGCAAAACAGCTTGAACACCCTTGACTTTTCACGTGGCACGTGCCACGACGGTCACTGAGATGCATCAAAAGTAGTCAATTACGGGTTAGAAGGGATGGGGCTACCCAGCAAAAAAGACCGCAGGCTAATCGGTCCAGCGGTTGCTGAGATATAAGCCTCTCAAAAGCGTTATAGGCCGGGCCGGGCCGGGCCGGGCCGGGCCGGGCCGCTCATACTGAGATTTTTCCGTTATATTGAAAAGACTCACTTCGCTCGCTGCGCTCGCTCGCTCGTAATAATCGGCTTCCTTGTTTGGTAGTTGGTCCAGTAAAATAGCCAATTACATCGTAATTATCTAGGTCTAGCTGACAGGGCTGTTTAATTGGCATCGTATTTAAATGGATTTGGCCGGGGCTCGGCAATGAACCGTGCTAGATGTCCATAAATCGACATACCTACGTGTTATGCCAGCCGTTTTTTTTTAGAACACTTATAATGGTGTACGATGTTAAGCAATTATTTAGTATAGGCGGGCAGTTCTCACATTCTTTGAGAAAAAAAAATGAATTTTGAGATACGTGAATAAGTGCTACGTTCTAACGACCCGTTCTCACCTGAAGTACGACCCGTTCTCACCTGAAGTACGACCCGTTCTCACCTGAAGTACGGCACGTCCTTGTCGATGTTCCTGTGGTCCATGACATCCATGATGGCCCTCTCGATCCAGACCTTCATGTCGGAGATGTTGACCACCATGCCAGTGTGGGGGTGGATCGGACCTCGAGCCGTGACCTCCACTGTAACCGCGTCATCAAACGGGCGTCATCCAAGGGGTGGTGACACCACATGGGCGTCATCAATGGGGCATCGTCGGTGCATCATCAGCCATGAGCCGGGCGTCATCACTTCAGTAGGGTGCAATCAATTCGACTTTCTTTGCCGCTTAACTTTCTGCTCGAAATGGCGTGTTGTAGCTACAACTTACAAGCGATCGACGATGAATGTGAAATGACAAAAAGAAACAACCAGATATGAATATCACGTACAATTGCGTTACCGTTCACTTTATTACATTTTACCGTTCTCACCTCTGTAATTGTGACCGTGTCCATTGACGTGGTTACACTTTCCGAATATTTTCTTATTTTCTTCATCCGATAGGTGCACGCTGTGAAAGAAACTTATTTTAGCCTCGCCAGCTGGTGGGGGTCTCAGCCAACCTCGCCATGAGGGGGGGAGGGGGTGTATAAGCTATGCGCCACAGTTTTCCCTGCACGTAGGTATATTAAGACTGGAGAGTGTGACAACTGGCAACCCCTCCCCCTCCCCCCACTCACGAGAGCGAAAGCTAATCACTGGGCATTGGCATGAACTTGCCAAGCTTCCGCGAACTTAATAGCAACGCCGTCTCATGCACTGTGCACCGAACAGTAAACAGCACTGGCGTCCCTGGCGCAGTTAATGGAGGGCGGCCTGGCGAATCAGGAAGGGCTAGTACGTCTGATATCGCCACACATTTATGGGTATTTATGTCTCGTATGGATACAATATATAGTGCGTTTAGTGACATGACACGATAACATACAATATACAAAACTGAACGTAAGCTAACGGATGTGATGATTTGACCGATATGTTATGTTTATGCTAAAAGCGTGCCGGAACTCGCGATTCACCTCCCACTGACATGATCAGCGCTGTCGCAGGTTCCCTAATGACCTGTGGCCTGTCAGGGCTACCGGAGGGCTCAGAAGATCTAAGCAGTGCTTTCGCATGGCTCTCAATCTCATCCCTCCAGCTGGCCTGAGCGGCGCTGTCGGAAGGTGACCCCAACACACACTGACCTGTAACCTGTCACGGCTATCAGAGGGCGCAATCCCCGCTCACTGACCTGTGCAGCCGATGACAGGCGCTGAAGCTCTGGATCCTGGTGATGTAACCGATGGGCACCCCGCCGGTGCCTCCCACCGCCCGTCGGTCGGGGGCCATCGGTGCGCCGGGCGTGGCCCCTCGGCGGTACCTCCCCTTCCGCCAGATGACAGGCCTCTGGAATGTACGTACCTATCAGCATTCAGCACCCATGTTCTGGTTAAATCCCTCTGGTCGCCAGTCCTGCGGGCGGCTTCCAATAGGTTATTGTATGGAACTTCCCCAGGGGCGTCGCCGACGGGGGGGTCGGGGGGGGGGGGGTCGTGACCCCCCCACTCTTGAAAACTGGGGGTGTCGACCCCCCCACTTTTTGCGATGCTGAGTATGCTTTTTTAGCTTTTATGTCAGTGAAGCAGGCGTCAGCAACACCAACAAATATATCAGATTCAAAATCGCTTCAAGAGCTCCCTAAAGCCAATTAGCCAATTACCTAAAGGTCAATTAGCTGTGGGCGGGGAACACCAGCACAACAATGCTTTTAAGTAGCCCCCATCCTAGTATACCTTTTTATCCCTCAAAGGATTGGACGCGCCAAAACTGCCCCGAGCGTTCGTCTGATCGTTTAAAAAAAAAAAATGGTCGCAGTCGATTCGTCGGATCAGTACCTAACTACAAAACTACAAACTAGCCTCAGCCCCATGGCTACCGTCACAACTAGCTGTACAGTGCACATGTAGGGGAAAGGGAGTCAGATGGAACCGTCTCGGGCTTTCGCAAAGAAGTCGCGCAAAAAGGAGCCGATTGCAACAAAACTTCCGGTGCGCTCGAGTTAATCACCTACTTAAAATAAATCGATATCCCTGATTCAAATAAAGATGACCTTAGTTCACTTTTTCATAACGTGCTTTTAATTGATAGGGTAGTTTTTGGAGCTGATTTTGAACTTAGCGCCCATCTGAACATTTAAGAAGTAGTTGTGTTGCTTATTCATATAACATGCTAGGAAGCAATCGGTGGTGGTCATCCACTATTAGGCACTGGTCGGTCTGACCTGATCTACCCCAAATGCATGGAGTCATCATCTTCGTTCAAAACTAAGATAACATTCGTAATCAGAACCTCGAAAAACCATCACAACTTACATTCGTTAAGTTCTAGCAGGTCCCGAGTTTCTCTACATATTGGCGATGACCTGAGTCCTGAGATGACCCGAAAACTTGTAAATGGGTATCATCGGCTTTCTCTCGTGACGGGCAGCATGCTCTTTTTTCCGCAAACCTGTAGATCGATCAGGGGTCGAAAGCATGCCTCAGCGTTAGTTTAGTATACGTTATACGTTAGCGACTGGGAAACCACCAATAGAAGGGCTACCTACAGTGAAGCAGAAAACTATTCGATAGCTCTTTTAACGCTCTTTCGCTAGCTTCGCGTTATATTTCATCTCAGGTCTATGTTTGGCCCATAAGAAGGCAAACAGCTAACTGGACAGATTCTGCCGAAACATCTGCTTTGCAATAACTTTCGATTCCGTGAATTTGTATGGTATGTACATATGTTGTCTTGTCACCACCGTCTTGATCTCTTTGAGACGCGTCACATGAGTTAAAATTTGACCATTCAGAATTAACGTTAAAACGACCTCAGGTCAACGTTATGTCCTGATCGAAAAAGGACCTCCTGCTGCATATGAATGGATCTGTGTTGTTGAGCTGAACAGTGAACAGTGAACACCTTCCAGGTGCTGTCATCGATCTACCGCGTCTTCGTCAAAAGTTGTAGAAAAAAAAAAATGCTGGTGGCCATCGATGGACATTTCCACTAATGACCTTTCGAGTCATCACTCGCCATAAGTTGCACCCTGTCCCTGGCAATGATGAGCTGATTTGTCATGGCTCCAAAGATATTTTGCGTTTCTGACGAACTTTTTCAAAGCAGGAGGCATTCGTGCTTTTTCTAATTTCTCATTATTTTCTAATGATGAGGTGACGTATTTGACCTGCCTTCAGATCATACATAGATGTAAATCCTCAGTTAGAATCATGAATTGCTGACACGTATAACCCCATACATTAGGTACCTATACAGTGTACCAAATTTCGAAGTTATGGGAGAAAAGCTACAAGAATGGCGAGAGGGGAAAGTTTTTATGGAGGTATACCGTATAACTGAACTTGACATGGCGACCTGACCAGTGATAATTTTTACGCAAGTGATGTAGGTAGGTATACCTACCTAATAGGTTATACCAAATTTGGCGGCGCTGCGCGCCGATTTGTTACACACGCACACACACACATACGCACGCACAAAACTGGGAAGTGTGGCAAAAAAAAACCCTACCCATCGGGTGAAGACTAGAAACCCGACCCCCCCACTCAAAAATCCGTGGCGACGCCCCTGAACTTCCCCTATCGCTGGTAATCACATCAGACGCCATCTCATGCCAACTTCATGGAACTATGTGAGCCTGAGGCATGGCAGTCTGAGTCATCGCATGACCAGAGAAGAGACAATAACAAACTTCGGACTCGTGGTTAGTGGCTATGTTTCTGACTTCTCCCTCCATCCCTCTTCTCTATTTTCTCGCTTACGTATTTCGAGTTGCACTTGCCTCAGTGTTTCCCTTCTCCGTCTGCTGCGGGAGCTGGCACGTGTACCACCACCCCCTCTGGCCGCGCTCTGCGCTCTCCAAGACTCTGGAGGGTGGCACTTCTGGCAATCGATCGCAGGCCGCAGGGCTACCTCACCGCCATCTATGAGGTAGCTTGTAAAGTTAGAGTGAAGGTAATGTCCCGCTAGGCGGCTTATTTCTCATGTCTTGCTGCGGTAGCCGAGACGAGTTGATTGTCATAACCTGTGACGAAGTTGTTTAAAAATCCGTATTTTGTTTATCGCTGAGAAAAGCTGCGCAAACCCCACCTATTTGGCGTATCTTATCACGAATATTTTCCGCTGTCCACTGAGTGTGATAAATTGGTAGCCCCAGGTCACCCGAGGTCAGATGACCAGGCTATGGGCAAGTGATATGATTTTTTTTAAAGTTAAGAATGAGTCACTGTTGCACCAGCTGAGTAAGTGGTTGAAACTCTGACCAACTGCTGAGGGTGGTACAACTGTAAAAATATATGGTTATCCGGATTCCGGAGTTGAGCCATCTGATCTGTCAACCACCTAATTTGTCGGTAGGTATGTTTATTTGTTCAAAGGCCTACACGTCCGTTTTATTACCTTGTCCTCATCATATTCATTCCCAAGAAATCTCTCAATCTCTCACTACTGATGCATTTGGTAGTTGGTACGCAGCTCTAAATGTCTCCATTCAAACGTCGTGATCCATTAATTCATTCAATAATCTATTCGTTTATCCATCCATTCGTTCATTCATTGAATGCTGCCACTCTTTCATTCATTGATTGCTCACATCCTTTCAATACACTCCCCAATCATAGCATACCAGGACGTCCTGCCTGACGTATGTACGGCCGTCAATCCGCCCCTCATACAGAGCCCACCGATTCTGTCGTCGACCTGTTTTCACTCCGGACCCGCCCCGTCCACTGTGTAAATAAACACGGCGTCCTGTGTCGTCCTGTTACGGGGGCCGGGCACGAGCGGGCGAGCGTTGGTCGGTCGCTGCTCTCGGAATGACTCCAGACATAAATACCAGCAGACCGTGGTCCCACTGAGGGTCGTTCATGAGGCAACCGACCTAACCACTTCTATTTGTGGTGAGATGGTTTTTTTTAAATTCAATACTGTAGGGTGTCCCGAAAGTTTTGTGGTAAGCTTTAGTCCTGCTTTTGCGTCAATATTTCCTGACCTTATGGCTAATACAGCCTACAGGCCACGGATAAATTCGGCAGCAAGTCTATAATCAGACCGTGGCCGTGGCAGGCGACACTTTGATCTGTACTTAACCCGCGCACCGACGGGGGTCTGCGCCAACTTAGTACCGACGGGGGGGGGGGGGGGCGGATGACCGCCCCCCTGAGATCTCGAGAACGAAGCAAGATAGCGACAAGCGGTAAACGGCATCGGATACGCACGGTCAAGATCTACAATTTTTACTAAGGTCATTTTCAGGTCAGGTCAAAGATGACGTCACAGGGGTCGAAAAAGTCAAAATGGCGGCGCTAAATATGGAGAGAGTTTTTCTCGAATAACTTTCGAACTAGTCAAGATAGGAACAAACTAAGGGCATCATCGTGATCCTCTCGTCAATCCGCATCGAATGATATATATGTTGACCTCGAAAGGTCAAGGTCAAAGGTTGACCTCAGGTCACGTGACCTTGAGGTCATCATGTATATCGTTCGATGCGTCTTGACGAGCTGAACACAATGAGACCATCCACGCGTCTGTATCTTGTTCCTGTACGGAGTTATTGGCCAAAACCCTTTGGTGACCTTTGATGACGTCACATGACCTCACAGCTGCCCAACAGCAAAACAGACCTCAAGGTAGTGAAGGTTGATCGTATATGAAGTCATGTATGGTATATGGGGCCATTCCGACCCGTTTTAGTGGTAAAAACAGGGAGTTGATTTTTCCCCCATTGACTTATAATGGGGAGGTCGCGAAATTGACCTGACCTTAGGTCACCGATATCAAAATTCCGAGATATACAAATTGTAGCTACTAATGACCTAATAACATCCTGCGACTTTCAAAGGCCTCCGACATCTACTGTAGCTCTGGCACGGTGACAAAGTTGCAAAAAAGTGACTTGAGGTTGGGTCATTCAGAGTGACCTGGTGACCTGACCTTGAAAGGTAGGAGGTTCAAACTTGCACACCATGTGTAAAATTGATAAGGGAATAGTCATACCAAATTTCGCGGCGCTACGCGCCGCGGTTTTCCCGCTATTCGCGAAAAACCTCAGGGGGGGGGCGGATATCCGCCCCCCCCGTCGGTGCGCGGGTTAAATAAGCCATTTAAAACCTTTTGTACTTTTATGAGAAAAGCGCTCTCGAGTTTTTCATCTAGAGGAATCATGTCTCTGCATCTGAAGCGACCTGTATCGCATTTTAATTCGTTATCCCCAAATAACCTTTATGATAGCAAGACCGGGTGCGCCTCATCGTCATCATACTCGTACTCTGTTGCATCATTAACCTCGCCAGATAGGGTAGTACCTACTAGATAGTAGATATATTGCGCGCCGCACCTCGCCACAGTACAGTTGTGTCTGCTCACCAGTCACCACAGCATCACCTTGCCCGCCGCAGGAACACCGAGTAACGTCTGGCCGTAGCCATGGGCTGTGGCCTGAAGCTTATATAGAATTGGCTACCAATGGATGTTGTTTCATGTTTGCCAGTGTTGGGTTTATGAGGACACGTGTTGCATATATGGAACATCAACCGTAGTACACGTAAGAGTGAGAGCAATATTCATTGTGTAAAATATAGTTAACTGTTTTGAATGTAGGTAGGTATATAGGTGGTTGTGTAAAGGTAGGTGACCACACCGAAAGGACTGACTTTCGGGGCACCGATTTGTCTTTCTGGGAGTTTTGACATCATGAACTGGCCAAACAATGCTAGGCTAAAGCTGGTCGTCTTGGTTACTCTAACGATAAACAAACAACACTCATCATAACCCGGAGAACCTTTCTATTCTGGTTAATTAAAAGTGGCTATTAGGTTAAGGTTACAGATAAATGGATAAAATAGCGATAAAAAATCGACTCTGGATAGTGGATAATTACTCGTCCCAGTATATTACTGGAATTGTAAAGCATTATTGGTGTATAGATACAGTATAGGAACATGTCTGCAATTGATCTATCGGCAGAACGAAAAAGCATAATACACGTCTCTGTCAGTTGCGCTGCGCTACATGATTACGAGCGAGCGAGCGCAGCGAGCGAAGTGAGTCTTTTCAATATAACGGAAAAATCTCAGCATGAGCGGCCCGGCCCGGCCCGGCCCGGCCTGTAACGCTTTTGAGAGGCTTATATCTCAGCAACCGCTGGACCGATTGGCCTGCGGTCTTTTTTGCTGGGTAGCCCCATTCCTTCTACCCCGTAATTGACTACTTTTGATACATCTCAGTACCGTCGTGGCACGTGCCACGTGAAAAGTCAAGGGTGTTCAAGCTGTTTTGCAAAAGAAGTGATTTTGAGAGGCCCATATCTCAGCAGCCGCTTGGGCGATTGTCTTGCGGTAATTTTTGTAGGGTAGCTGCATCCCTTCTACCAAAGGTCGGATATTCTTGATCTATGTGAGGGACCCCCACTGCACGTGCAAAATGCAAAAAGAAGAGGTGCAAAATTTGTTCCCATTTCAATAACTCGGTAATTACTGGGGCGATTTCGCTGAAACTTGGCATACAGGTAGGCACCCACCAGGCAATGCATTCCCATTTGTTGCGGTTAGGGTGCTACTGCACGTGCGCACGTGCAGGGCCCAGGGGGCGCTCCCAGATCTCGAGAACGGCTGGGCCGATTGCGCTCAAATTTGGTACACGGTTGGGGACCAGTTAGTAGGGTGCCGTGCAAAAGTAGTTTGGACCCCTTTTGCACGTGCGCACGTGCAGAATGCCGCTTCCAGATCTCAGGAACGGCTGGGCCGATTGTGTTCAAATATGGCACACCGCTAGCGACCGGTTAGAAGGGTGCTTTGCACAAGCCCGTTGGAAGTACCCTCTCGTCCTTCCGCACGTGCAGGGCTCACTATCTCGCTCGCTCGTTCTTCGCCCAAAAGGCGTTTTACTGGTTACGAGCGAGCGAGCGCAGCGAGCGAAGCGAGTCTTTTCAATATAACGGAAAAATCTCAGTATGAGCGGCCCGGCCCGGCCCGGCCCGGCCCGGCCCGGCCTGTAACGCTTTTGAGAGGCTTATATCTCAGCAACTGCTGGACCGAATGGCCTGCGGTCTTTTTTGCTGGGTAGCCCCATCCCTTCTACCCCGTAATTGACTACTTTTGATACATCTCAGTGACCGCCGTGGCACGTGCCACGTGAAAAGTCAAGGGTGTTCAAGCAGTTTTGCAAAAGTAATGATTTTGAGAGGCCCGTAGCTCAGCAGCGGCTTGAGCGATTGTCTTGCGGTCATTTTTATGGGGTAGCTGCATCCCTTCTTCCAAAGGTCGGATACTCTTCATCTATGTGAGTGACCCCCACTGCACGTGCAAAATACAACAATAAGAGGTGCCAAATTTGTTCCCATTTCAGTAACTCGGTAATTACTGGGGCGATTTCGCTGAAACTTGGCATACAGGTAGGCACCCACCAGGCAATGCATTCTCATGTGTTGTGGTTAGGGTGCTACTGCACGTGCGCACGTGCAGGGGGCGTTTCCAGATCTCGAGAACGGCTGGGCCGATTGCGCTCAAATTTGGTACACGGTTGGGGACCGGTTAGTAGGGTGCCGTGCAAAAGTCATTTTGGACCCCGTTTGCACGTGCGCACGTGCAGAATGCCGCTTCCAGATCTCAGGAACGGCTGGGCCGATTGCGTTCAAATTTGGTACAGCGCTAGCGACCGGTTAGAAGGGTGCTTTGCACAAGCTCGTTGGAAGTACCCTCTCGCCCTTCTGCACGTGCAGGGCTCACTATCTCGCTCGCTCGTTCTTCGCCCAAAAGGCGTTTTACTGGTATTGAAAAGACTCACTTCGCTCGCTGCGCTCGCTCGCTCGTAATGAGCGGCCCGGCCCGGCCCGGCCTGTAACGCTTTTGAGAGGCTTATATCTCAGCAACCGCTGGACCGATTGGCCTGCGGTCTTTTTTGCTGGGTAGCCCCATCCCTTCTACTCCGTAATTGACTACTTTTGATACATCTCAGTGACCGTCGTGGCACGTGCCACGTGGTAAGTCAAGGGTGTTCAAGCAGTTTTGCAAAAGTAATGATTTTGAGAGGCCCATATCTCAGCAGCGGCTTGAACGATTGTCTTGCGGTCATTAGGGTAGCTGCATCCCTTCTACCAAAGGTCGGATACTCTTGATCTATGTGAGTGACCCCCACTGCACGTGCAAAATACAACAAAAAGAGGTGCCAAATTTGTTCCCATTTCAGTAACTCGGTAATTACTGGGGCGATTTCGCTGAAACTTGGCATACAGGTAGGCACCCACCAGGCAATGCATTCCCATGTGTTGCGGTTAGGGTGCTACTGCACGTGCGCACGTGCAGGGCCCAGGGGGCGCTCCCAGATCTCGAGAACGGCTGGGCCGATTGCGCTCAAATTTGGTACACGGTTGGGGACCGGTTAGTAGGGTGCCGTGCAAAAGTCATTTTGGACCCTGTTTGCACGTGCGCACGTGCAGAATGCCGCTTCCAGATCTCAGGAACGGCTGGGCCGATTGCGTTCAAAATTGGCACACCGCTAGCGACCGGTTAGAAGGGTGCTTTGCACAAGCCCGTTGGAAGTACCCTCTCGCCCTTCTGCACGTGCAGGGCTCACTATCTCGCTCGCTCGTTCTTCGCCCAAAGGGCGTTTTACTGGTTATTATTATAGCTCGATTTAGTAGACAGTGACACTATTACCCTGACATTGATCAGTTATGGATCTCCATCACTGATCAGTCTATATGTTCGACCGTTTCCCGTGGCATTAACGTTTTTATATAATACCCCGACCGCTCCCCATCATAACGATGCTTTCTTTAAATACCCACTTATGTACGTGTATGTACGGCCCTCCAGCAAATGAGTGGTTGGTTAGCTATGTGCTTTTGGTGTAATAAATTTCAATGACAGAGACACTCCTGTAAAATGACTGAATAGAAATGAGAGGAGGGTTCGCACTTCGGCAATGGTTTTCAACAGCCATTAGACGTATTCATCAATGCAAATCGCTTATTGTGATGGTGGCAACCAACCACTAAATACCTGGAGGGCCGTATACCTGTGATTGGCTACTGGAGAAAAGATAGAACGGAGGCTCATCGACTGATAAAATTACGAATTCTGAATAATGTAAGCTATGATGAAAATATGGCAACTCAAGGCAACTAAAAGGAGGCATCTACGAGTTTGTTAAACGCGACTTTTCCAACATCGTAAAAAGCTTCTCATGGCGAAGCCATGGGCTGTGCCTGTGGCATTGAGTGTGGACTATGCGAATAAAGACTTAACCCGCGCCGGGCCAGTCCTCCGAGATTCCGCGCCGGGCCGGGGAGGGGGGGGGGTGTCTGAACACCCCCTTCTAACTCGGCTCCTTGGCCACGTAGCGACACCCGGTAAGCGGCAATCGAAAGAACGTCCAAAATAAGGACGAAAAAACTCGGTCATTTTTTGGGTCAGGTCAAAGGTCAGGTCACCAGAGGTCACCAAAGATAAAATGTTGACTATTTCAACATTTTGGAAACTGCCGACGGCTATATCGGGAACCGATAGAGCTACAGCGCCGCGGAAAAGCGCATTCGATAGCCCTTTTACAGACCTTTCTGGGTAATGTTCTCAGATTTGACCTCAGGTCAAGGTCATGACCTGACCGGAAAAAGTCATGTTGCATATCAGTCGATCTGCAACGTCGAGCCGAACACATCTAAGGCGTTTTCAGTGCTCTAGCACGCCTCCATCAGAAGTTATTAGCGAAAAACTGTTAGATTCTGTTCGTGACCTGAGATGACCTCGGGGACATAACGAGGGGTCACAGTTGCCATTTTCCGGTTCAGTGTGACAATCTTACCTACATCTCGATGCTTGAGAGTGTCTAGAATAGCTTACGTGCAAAACAGACGCTTTTCAACTTTCTCCCATTGACTTATAATGGAGAGGCCGCAAAAGTGACCTGACCTTAGGTCACCGATATCAAAATTCCGAGATATACATTTTATAGATAATGCTGCTCTTATCAATCGCTGAAAGTTTCAAGGCAATCGATCAGTCGGTGTAGCATATGACGAGCATTCTTATCTTTTCTGAGGTGAGGTCACTTGGCGTGACCTGGTGACCTGACCCAAGGCGACCTGGGTCTGAAATTTTCACAGCATGTGCGGAAAAGATGCACGAACAGATGCGCCAAAAACGGCGGCGCCGAGATATCTGCGAAAAACCGCAGGGGGAGGGGTGTTCAACCCCCCCCCCCCCTGGCCCGGCGCAGGTTAATAAGGGATTGGAGGACGCCTGAAGTGCTGAGGACACCGGCACTTCGCGCTAACAGATGATCACTTTAGAGGGCAAGTTGAGTACTTCCTCGAACAGTTCAATGTTCATGGTCCATTGAACGCCCAGCTGCTGGTGGAGTTGGTAGAAAGTCGCAGTCATTATAAAAGGGTCTCATTCATTTAACATAAAGGAGAAAATGGGGATCGTTTGGGATCAAATGACTACTGCCACCTGCAACATTTTCTGACAAATAATCGAAGGCTCGTGAACTGAAATAGTTGAGACAGTCTCAATATTGCTCTAAAGTTTGCAACCTTTTGCTGGTTGGTTTAGGCAGGTAGGTATAGAACTGCTCTGGCCTGCCAGGACACGTATTTTATTATTTGCATGCCGCATTTAATATGTCACGTTATTAAGACACATTAATATCTAACCTCACAGCATCTACATATTGCGTTTTCCTATGTTTTCTTGGCCACAACAAAACATAACTAAAACCAGCCAGAACACGCAATAAGTTGTTATTTTATTTATATCTTGCATATTCCCAACCCGGACTTTGATTATCTCCCACTCTAACATCCTCTCCTTACAAATACCCTTCTTGGCTATTGGTGTATTTTATATAGGTACGTCCAATGCATATTTCAAGCATTCAGGTATGAATTTCAAAAGTAAATGTTACATTGTTTTGTTTTTATTTGATAATTCAACACAGTTTTGAACTTACAACATGACGAATATGAGTATATAATGGAAAGATTATGCTAAGCACATAGCCACATCACTAATACATGAAGCACATCCTAGCATTAGCACCTCCCGGCGTCTACCAATTAAAATGCACTTTCCCCAAAAAGCCATTCTACCGTACGTAGCATGAACTTCGGCACAATGTGCACTCCTTTTGATAAAACATTTGCACTTTTGGTCCCCGACCTTTGCTGTCCTTTGCACTGTCACGCGCCGCCCACTTTTTAGTGCCGCTGCTGTTCCCTGTGCCTGCTCAACCTTCGAACGTCATACCTTCACCGTTGCGGGCCATGCAGTCGAAGTTTGTGTTTCTTTGTCTCAGAGGTTCACCATCACAGGTGTAATAGTCCAGTGTCTCAAGTGTCGTGTTCCACCGTCTCAGGCGTTCGAAAGTCGTGGGCCACTTCCTCAGCCTTTAGAAAGTCGTGTTACACTGTCTCAGATGTTCGAGAGTCGTATGCCACTAGCTCAGATGTTCGAAGGTCGCGGTCCACCGTCTCAGATGTCGCGGGTCCCCATCGTCTCAGATGTCGCGGTCCACTGTCTCAGAGGTCACGGTCCATCGTCTCAGGTGTCGTGGGTCCACCGTCTCAGATGTCGAGGGTCCACCGTCTTAGATGTCGAGGGTCCACCGTCTTAGGTGTCGAGGGTCCACCGTCTCAGATGTCGCGGTCCACCGTCTCAGATGTCGAGGGTCCACCGTCTTAGATGTCGAGGGTCCACCGTCTCAGATGTCGCGGTCCACCGTCTCAGAAGTCGAGGATCCACCGTCTCAGATGTCGAGGGTCCACCGTCTCAGATGTCGCGGTCCACCGTCTCAGATGTCGCGGTCCACCGTCTCAGATGTCGAGGATCCACTGTCTCAGATGTCGCGGTCCACTGTCTCAGATGTCGCGGTCCACTGTCTCGGATGCTGTGGTCTACTGTCACAAATGTCTGGAGGGCGTGGTTCACTGTCGTAGTATCCGAAAGCTGTCTTTCAGTCTCAGGTGTCTTTTTCCACCGTTCTACGCATGCCCGGAGGTCGTATTTCACTGGTTCAGGTGACCGAACTCCTCGTCCCTGGTCAGCCCATTGTGATGGCGCTAGGGATGTCAATCACTGGTTCAGGTGGCCGAAGGCCCGGCTCTTGGTCAGCGGGTCCATGGTGACGCTGATTGTGACGCCACCCTCGGGCCTGGAGGACGTGAAGACGGCGTCAGCGGGTACCAGGAGCGTGGAGTCGGCCTCCAGGGTGTGCAGCTCACCGGACACCTCCACCTCGCAGCTGCCCTCCTGTCGAACGGATAAAGCATCGTCAGTGGATGTTCGAACTTAGCTTCACTACCTCCACCCCACAGCTGCTCCCCTGCCAAACAGTGACGACAGCATGATTAGTGGATGCATTGTTCACCCTGCGGCCTGCACCTCACTTCACCGCTTCCTCTCCTCAGCTGCCCTTCCGCCGAACAGTGAAGACATAACCAGTGGACGCGTATTGTCATTTGTCATTATCGGTAAACTGCTGCTGCCAGAAATGCAGCTGAAGAGGAATACTTTCAGCGTAGCTTGTGTCAGAGTAGATTAATTACAGCGGGAACATTTCATATACCTACTTTTTATCTCACAATTTAAAGTTCATTTATAAGTTTCTTGTTCTCCCAGAAACCCGATCCCAAAAACCTAACCCTACACTGACTCACGATTTGCCAGAGGAAGGTCTCGGCGCGCGGGTTGTGCGCCTTCAGCTTGCCCTCCCCCAGCGCGAGCACATCGGTCTGGTAGGTGAGGTCGAACAGCCGCTTACTGCCCTCAGAGTCCAGCTCGGAGCGGTGTTTGGTGATCCACTGCTGCAGCGAGAACGGCTCCTCCGTCTGCCGGGCGAGCACATGGTGTTAGAGTCGGTTAGGAGAGATGATACGAGGGGGGAGGGGGCACGGGTGGAGAATTGTGCTGGACTGGGGGTGCTCGAGCTCTCCCAATTCCACGCCGGCCACGCCGGCTTGGCTTTGGAGCCGCGGCCGGGCGGCGCGGGTCAAGGTCACCGCTAGGCGGCGGCGGATTTGCTGCGCCCGAGCACCCCCAGCTGGTCACAATTCTCCACCTATGGGAGGGGGGCAAATGAGGGGAGCCGCATGAGTTGTCAGTGACGGCGATGTTGGCTTTCGTAGTTATGAATAAAGAAGATGACGATGTCATAATTCACTCAGTGTATTGCCAGGAATGAATCCGTTCAACTACTGAAGTATGAAACCATAAAACACAGTAGCTTTTCATAACCTCAATCCGAAAATCATTTACATTTTTACCGCTACTCACAAAGAAAGAACTATTTATAACCGTTCTAAAAAGGCAAGGGATCAATACACATCTGCTATAAGAAAACCATATAGCAGATTAACCCGGCCGGGCCCGGGGGGTAATCCCAACCACCGCAGCCCGGGGGGGGGCGTTTTTCGCCCCCCCCCTGTCTAACTCCATAAATAAGGGAGCTACGCAAACAAAAGCGATACCAAACGAAAGGTCCTTACGAGACGATTCTAGGGCACCTAAAATTTTTGACCTCAGGTCAATTTTCAAGGTCAGAGGTCAAGGTCAAAGGCAAAAACCGGCACATGTGTAGTGATCTCAAAGTAAGCCTTCTAGAGGACGGCAGGATGCATCAAACCGGCAAAATTGGGTGTCAAACGAAAGAAGAGAATCTGAGGATTCCGAAAATGTGCTCATAATCAAAGGTCAAGGTCAAGGTCACGCCCAAAATTGACCTCAAACTTTGCACTTTTTCGTACATCTTGCGTGCTAACTTCCAAAATGTTTTGAAATGTTTTGAGGCTTATCAGTCCCCTATTTGTGGTTCATCTTACGATACAAGGCTGCTCAAAGGTCAAGGTCACAGAAGAGTATCCTTGCTAGAGGCTATTTCACTGATTTAAGTTAGTAATAATAAATAAGACAATTTTGCCATCCGGAAGCTCTAAATGAAAGCTTAGAGGAAAATAGATGCCAGATTCGTGATCAGCGGGTACAAATTCATCATGAACGACCTTTCATGTGTCAAGGTCAACCAAAGGTCATTCGAGGTCACATGAGGTCAACATAAAATTTGACCTTTTCCAAACAAAATATATATCATTCGACGCGGCTTGACAAGGCGAATGCGATGGTACCACTGCCGTAGCTCTAGGACCATTTTTGTCGAAGTTATTTGCGAAAAACTAAAACCACATTTCGGGGTCGTTGACCTGACCTCTGACCTCAGGTCACCGAAACTATTTTTCTATTTTTCTCTAGGTCAAACGCTACACAACCGTTTTCGTAATTTGTCTTTATCTCTAAAACTCTATTTTTAGCAGCTATTTGAAGTTCGCGTCTGTGACGCCGAAGTTTGCCGTGCAGGGGTTTAGAAAAATCGACCTTGTGACGTCATCAAGGGGGCTAGGTCCAAATTTTTTACTACAGAAGATGTCAAATGGATGGGAGAAAAGGTACTGAAAGTTTCGCCTTCCTATCCCTAATCGTTCGGGAGCTATCGCAAATATTCGCCAGGGGGGGGGGCGAAAAACGCCCCCCCGGGCCCGCGAGGGTTAAGCCACCCACTTGTCTGACGGGGTCCGGTTCGAAGTACGCCGGACACATGAAGGATCCGAGGCCCGGCTGGTTGGTGCGATGCTCCTCAGAGTCGAAAAAGTCCTTGATGACCGGCCCCAGCTGTGACCCGAGGTCGACGCAGTAGAACCAGCGCTCCCACAGAATGTTTGTTGTCTCGCCCACATAGTATCTGCAAGGTGGGCGGGATATGGCTGACTGCTTTGTGGTGGATTGCGGCTCATAACGAATAATAAAGTCTTTACAACGCCTTAGCTCAACGATGTTGTTAGTTGAAAGGTCGCGTATTGTTTTCGTGTTCTATATTAAGCTGAACATTATCTTGAAGATACTTCGATTTATATTTTCTGTTATGCATAAGAGGACGATTGTTTTCCAATGTAGCTGCGAGCGACTTGTTATCAATTGCGTGACTTAATTTGAATGAAGGTTTTGTTTAATTTTATAAGCTACATCCTTACGTTTGCACGATATAGCCATCGGCTCGGGATATTAAGTAATCTCACCGGTCCTAGGTTCCTTGTGGATACTGGATAGATTTACACCCACCTAAGACAGTCGTACTCCTGGTCCTTGACCCTCTCCCGTTCAATCACCATCCCCGTGGTGTCCTGATAGCGCTGCGGCGAGTGCGGGATCTTACCCGGCAGCAGAAAAATCTGACAAAAGACGGGCAAGAGATGAGGTCAAAATCGTGGCAACAGGCAACAACTTCCATGAGGTCAGGCTACTCGAACGTCTTATATATAGGTAATCTGAGCATTATCATATAAGGAATGTTTACTGAAATCGTTGCACGGCCCCGATGTCAAACATTGCCATCGATGTTTGATGAAGCATGAGTCAGGAGACGACAGGAAGTTAGGCATCCCGTATGCCGGTGCTGTGCTCACCTCCCCTTCCTTGATTTTGATGTCCTTGAACTCGCCATTTTGCAGGGTCACGACGTTGATGTCGCCTTGCCTCTGGTAGAATACCTCTTCTCCTTCCTCCAGGTGGAAGTCCTTCCTCACGTTTGGGCCACCAACGTAGAACACCTTCAGTTGGCCATCGCCGTGTCTGGTAAACAGTGGTTTGGTCGGTCATGCAGCTCTCCTCCTTAATTTCTAGCACTTCTCCGATCCAAGATTTTATCTCGACTTTGGTATTTGGTACCTTTTAATTTCCGGGCCTCAACGGCCATTGGTTGCGGAAATCTAATCCGGGTAGCCGACTTACATGCGAATTACGCCTTACGATTAGTGACCTATTTCCGATTTTCTTATGCTAATTGTTTTCCGTTTAAGCCTGCAGTAGTATGACTAAATTGAACACCTCCACAGCAGGTCATGAGTGGCGACACAACCCAGGCAATGCCTGGTCGGAGTTAACGTTTCACCCGTCAACCTCAACATTACGATGCTTCTGTTATTTCAAATGCCAAAGTTTGAAATACGAGCGTGAGAGTTTCACGGTTTGCTCTCCAGACCGGAACAAGCCAGATCTAGCAGACGCGAAGTTCCCGGTAACTAAGCGCCCAGTATACTTACAGCATTTTATTGCACACCGGGGGCAGGAACGACGCTTTATTAGCGTCGATCCACTGCGCCGTTGTCGTCTTGGTCGCCATGGTAACACAGATATCCCTCGGCCGGACGAGGCGGCACGGCTCTCCACGACACAGACAGATCCGTACTGAGCCGAGTGCAGCCGGCCTGGGGCGGCGAGAGTCGGCCGGATCGTGGCGCCCCTGTCGACCGGACCTGTATCATAAACAGATCCACGACCGGGCCAGTTTGGCTGCAGGTTCTACGGTCCCTGAGAGGCGCGGCAGACGCCACCAGCGACAGCGTGTCTGGCAGATTGATAGATGGCCGGTCCAATTCGATTCCGGAGATCGCGTTCATATCCTCTGTCTTGTTTTGATCACGGCTAACAACACACTGTAAACCAAATTGACAAGTCTTGTGTAATATAACCAATCATCTCTTGGTATGTTTACCAACTGATACTTTTCAAACAAGCCGTTGTCTGGTGCATTGCTTGTCAGATGACAACTACGAGTCAATAGTTACTATGCACACCAACTTCTCAGTATCCAGACCAACTCTACATTTGTTTCAACATTTGTTTCTTAACCAGTTTTGGAAACTTGTTGCCGCATGGTTATTTAACCGGCGCCTAACTTGTACTGGTCAGCTGGTCAGCATACACATGGTCAGCTGCGCCCGTGACGTCAGACTTGGCGGACCAATCAGCGGTCGCCGTCCGGCCCCGGCGCGGCGGTTTCAAACCGTTCAAACCAGCAGTTGTCGCGCGGCCGCCGTGCAGCATGGATCAGCGACGAGGGCTGTTCCAGCATTTGTGCAGTAAAAAGTGAAATATGTGAACTGTGGTGTTCGTGCTGTGAGTGAGGCCCGCTCTGGCCTGCGGGACGCACTAATCGTGCCTATACCCGCGGTCGAGACGCCTCCCTTCCCCTGCGCGCGCAATGTAAGTGGGCCAGACCTTTGCATGCACATGTGAGCAGATGTTTTGCGGTCGGTGTTTTTTTATATATAAATACATTTATTTGCCTTTAATTCAACTCTTTGTATTTTTAACTTAACTGATGGACATATATGGGCTGTAAAAGCTAATCTGGTTGGCGATCATGCTTTATTCGAATTATCTGCGTGATCGTGCAACTGCCATGATTGTTATGGTCAATGTGGAAATATTCGTCATACGGGCATGTTATACTTCTGGCTTGATGCGATGCACAAAACCATGTTCTTCCACATACGCAGCAGTTCTTGCTTCAAAGACTTATATGCTGACGGTGCACGATAGGTATACCTTATACCTCATGCATTTACCACATCCATTCGAAAATATGCACTTGGAATTGTCTCCAGTCAATAGTATTAATTACATACTACGTGATGTAGGTACGTAACCGTAATAAATACTAATGATTCCAGAAACTTCCGAATGGATGTGGTGTATGCATTCATCGATTATATAACCCATCAGTATTTCGTTTCTTGTCAGCACAAGCCTTTGAGCAATAACTGATGCCAGTCATGATTTTGTGCACCACTTCCAGCCAAAAAATGACCTGTCCGTATAGAAAATATTTCCTGAATCAGTATCGTGGCAATTGAAAACGAACGCGAATCGTAAGTTCTTAAGGTTATCAACGCAAACAAAGCGATTGTAAGGAAGAACAAGTTCGAACTGAGCGTTAGTACACTTACTTGTTGACAATTTGTAAACTAGCAATGCCCAGTCAAAGGCTAGTTCATCAACAAACCAGGGGTTGTTGAACCGACAAGGAAACGGCTATGCCTATCCAGAAGTTGGTAGGTTCACAAGGCCCAGACTAGTACTCAACAAGGTGACGCCTATGCGAATTGGAACCAAACTTGTAGACAAACTGTTAGTTTGTTGGCCAACACGCCTGGGGTTGGTGAATCGACAAGGTGACGCCTATGCGAATTGGAACCAAACTTGTAGACAAACTGCTAGTTTGTTGGCCAACAAGCCTGGGGCTGGTGAATCGACAAGGTGACGCCTATGCGAATTGGAACCAAACTTGTAGACAAACTGTTAGTTTGTTAGCCAACAAGCCTGGGGCTGGTGAATCGACAAGGTGACGCCTATGCGAATTGGAACCAAACTTGTAACAAGGAGCCAACTTGTAGATTTGGTTTACAGTGCAGAGCCTTATGAAGTCTCAGGCTATGAGGTAAATATTGCGAAGTTCATTTCAGCGGTATTTGCTGTTAGGCCTTTCTTCTTTAGACTAGTCCTTACATAGCGACCTTGACAGGAGTGACGTACAACATGCTGTTTCTATTATAACCATACCACCGGACGGTCTGGCGGTCGTTGCTGCCGTGGTCATCTGGTCAATTGACCATCATTACTGGAAGACTTATCACATTAATTGGCTGCCGTCGCTGATAGGGTTGTGATGTATCGTCCGCATGGTAACTGGCCAACGTCAGGCCAGGCGTGTGGCAGCCTGACGACCATGTTTAGCAAATAGCTCCATATTGCAGTGGCAAGTAGGTCCTTCTGCAGTCCAGAGATCACCAGGCATTGCGAAACGACAGTGGACGCAATCGCCGCGGCATACATTCGTTTAAATGATTGATGTATATCTGTATCATTTATTCACCATAAAGTACCGTAATCATTCGCATGTCGAGATGGTTGTAGCTTTCCATCCCAAACCGGCTGAATGAATTGTTGCATGTATTCAGTCATTATTTAAATATCCGCAAGAAGCAATAGTCTCTAACTGGCTGGAAGACCGGTGCACAACCCACACACATAGACCCGGGAACAGGGGGAGCAGCGGGGGCGCTTGCCCCCCCAACTTGAGAGCCGAGGGGGCGGCGCCCCCTCAACATTGAGGCAGCGAGAAAGGATCTTTCCTCCCTTTTCCGGACTTTTTTCCTTCTTGTTTCCTTTATACATCTACGCATCAACACATGGCATTTTCCTTGCCATCTGAATGGTTTCTGCTGATACAGTAGGCATCGATTTGACAACATCTGCTATTGACTATTGTCATCCCGCTTTGATTTGGGCCTGATCGTGGCCATAAGTTTGGCAGGCCAGATTTTATACTGCACCAGCTTGAGTCAACTTTGAGAAATACATAACGTGTAGTCGACTACAGAATGATGTTCCACTCCTCAGAAGCTATCAGTAACTAACCGGAGCGCTAAGTTGTGCCGTTTATCACGCAATTGTGAGCATTGGGACAAAGCTATAATTTGTGAACTCAGCCCGTGTGATGCGGCACATCCTACCACTCCAGGCAAATAATTGCCTGTGAAAAGTGGAACATCATTCTGTAGTCGACTATACAAGGTGGTAAAATCGTTGCTATTATAGGTATAACACAGTTTACCCGCTCCGGATGTGATGGAGGGGTGTGGGGCAATGAGTGCACTGACGTGGCGCCCTCGGAGGGCCGGTATGGGATTAAAGCTCAGCGACACTAAGGGCTTGTGTGGTGCCTTCGGTTATCGGTAGCACCCTCAGAATCACCGGCGTAGGGCCCTCAGAGCCGCCGGTAAGGGGCCTTTAGAGGCACTGGTGTGGGGCCGCCATGCAGGTGCCGGTGTGGACGCTCAGAGGTGCTAGTGGTGTGATTCTCTCAGAGGCGCCGATGAGGGTCCTTACAGGCGTTGCTGTGGATCCTCATAGACGCTGGTGTGGGGCCGTTACAGACGGGTGTGGGGCCTTTAGTGCTGCTGACGCGAACTCTCTACAAGCCGGCAGGGAGTCTCAGTGACCGGCAAGGGGACCTTACACCGGCAGAAGTCCTGTGGGGTCCTTAAAGACCGGCCCTCATAGGCGCCGACGAGGGCCCCACAGTTGCCGTTATGGGGCCCTCAGAAAATTAAGTGTGGGACCATCACCGGCGGGAAATGCCCCTAGAACTGGCACCTCATAGGCCGGTAAGACCTCTCAGAGGCCAGTAACGGGCCTTTGGAGATCACCGAGGTGTCCTTAAAAGCCGCAAGAGGCCCTCAGACGCCGGCGTCGGACCCTTATGGAGATCTTAGTGTGGCTATTTAGGGCCCATGAGGTGCTCTGACGAGCCCCATGGGGCCCTTCTGAGTAGAAATATGGCCATCGTTAACCCACAGCGGTCAAATGGCGCCGCAGGGCCCCTCGGACCCGAGGGTCCCCTTTATCCCGATGGTTTAGTGTCCCCTTAGACCCCTAGCTACGCCACTGTTTCATATGCATCATGTCAGGTATTTTAGGCTCGCCCCCCCCCAACTTGAAAATCGTTCCCGGGCCCCTGCCCACACAGTCCACATTCAATAGTCCACACCGTTCTTTGAACATTATAAATATGAAGGTCGACGCAAGTGACTTTTTTCGATCATGAATTTTGTTCTTCACGGAATCTGGAAACGTCTGTACTGCAAAGCTCGTCAAAAACATTTGAAATTCATCAAGATCAAATATGTTCATGGAAATAGGTAGCATGAATAGCTAAAATCAAATTATTCTTCTGTGTCTCAAAATTTAATGGTCAATACCAACACTGCTGCAGAGACAACTTTTTTCATTCTATCCTGAATAATCTTTCACATATTTTTTCATCCAAATTTTTACTAGCAGTTGAAAATTATTAGCATGCGTAAAATGAAAATGGTTTCTCTCACCCACCCAAACGGCAAAAATAACTTTGGTGTGATTGTTGTAACTCGGGAAGTTTGTTGGTGACATTGAACTAAGTTTGCTATTCCGATTAACGGCATGTGCCCATTTAATCAGTTTCTACCTTAGATCATTTTCTCCTGGTATGTCACCGCTCATTTACCAGAGCGTCAGTGTTTTGGTGCGTGATTTACCGGCCTCGGTCCGTGTGCCGGTATCACGGGAGCCGAGCCGAGGGGCGCGCCGCCACCATCCATTAGGTGCGCGGGCCGCTGTCAAATGACGACAGGTCATACGATGGGTCACTGTGGGCCGCTAATGAGCGTGCTGACCGGTCGGCGGCGGTGGCGGCGCGCCGGCGGCGGTGGCGCGGTACCTGGCGCGGCTGGGTGCCACACGCACCTGGGTGGCGCGCGACCAATCGGCCCCAGCAGGCGAGCCCTGCTTAGAGCGTGCGGTGGCGGCTACGAGGGCTCCACCACCTGCTGGAGGGGCTGAGACCTGGCTCAGGCTACACAATGGTGACTTGATGTCATGCGCTATGTGATGCTGTGTGACGTTCTGTGACACTGAGGAACGTGCTGAATTCCGCCTGATCCTCGGCGATCGTTAACCGCTCTAGCACGGGAATGACAAAGCTGATCACAACCATGCACTATGTACTATGTAGTAGCAATAAGCACACGTATGCCAGAGCTTTCCCGTATTCGTAATGCCATGGAAACAAATTTGCACAAGACGAAATTTGTACCTCCGTTATTCTTAGCTACATAGAATTGCCATGAATCTTTAAAGGTAACGGAAGTAATACTAACATGCTATTTATGGCATTGCTTTTAAAAAACTACCACCCGTCTACACGACTATCTTATAAATGTTTAATCTCACAAATAAACGCCACGATCATGAACAAACACATCAAACCCGACTATCATGCAACGAGGTCAAGATTTCCAGGTCGCTGGGTGCATATATCATGACAAGGTTACCGGTCGAGTCGCGAGTAACCATGGCGACACGGGCACGCCTCCGGTAAATACCGCCGCCGGGTACGGTTCGATCACCTGGCGCGGCCGCGCGCTGCGGTCACGTGACCGGCCGGCGCGCGCCCGCGCTCGGTCGGCTGGCGCGCGGTCAGTTGACAGCGCCTCGAGGCACGGGAGGGTCACGCGCGGTGCCGGCTCATGGGTGTGCTATATCGTGGTGGAACGGTGCGCCGGTCGAGGAGGAGCTGAGCTGAAGGTGGGTGCAAGGAGGCAGCGCGCGGATAGACGTGCCGGCAGACGTGGTCGGTTCAAAAGGTCAAGGATGCATCCTTTTACAGCATGCTGTAAAAGGTGCTGCATAGACCACGCGTACCTCGGTTGTCGGTATACGGCTAGGTCTATGGATTCTGCCGTTGGTGCTTTCAACCATCCCTCTGTTTGATAACGCTTCAAAATGCGTTACCACTGCAAATATGCAGGCAGGTGTTACCAGCGCTTGAACGGAGGTGCAAATTGAAATGCACTGTATGGCTAGGAGGATCCTATTGTATAGATTTGTTTTAAAGGCATACCTATTGGTGCACCCATAGAAATATCACATTGCAAACAGCTGAAATGTTAATGCATCGCCTATTGTGTTACATAGCCACGGAAAGATGTCATCCGAGACAGGTAGTTATTCAGCACTGTTTTAGAACTTGTTGTGACGCTCAGATGCACGGCAGACCAAAGAGACTTATTTTACCGTGCCCGTTGTTGCGAATGGCACGTAAAAGACGTCCGTGTACTATCCGGGATGAAACATAAAACTGTAAAATTAAAAAAAAAAAATATGGAGGTTGAATGGCATTGAAGTAAATACTGCCTATACGTACGGACATGTCATAGGTATCGTGTTGCCTGCGCCTATATTACAACCAGAAAATTCGTTGCGTTAAGATTAAAAAATCGTTAGATGATCTAAGTAAGTGTTCCCAGCCACATGTGGTAACGAATAATGATTGACCGATTTCGTATAGAAACGAGAGCTCGTGAAGATGGATAAAAATGCACGGTGACGAATTACAACCAGCATACGAGCTACGGAACATAGTTTCTTTCCGTTACTTGTGACTACGAGACAGCTTCATATGTCACAATTCAGTGATTTCTTCGGACATCTGCTTTGTGGTGCTGCCTTTTATAAAATTATATATCTAATGGAGCTTTCATTTCTCATCAAGGGACTGAAGTCCGTTTGCGAGTACGTTACCGTGACTCGTGAATGATAGTCGTTCTAACGTAGCTACAAGATGCTTGGCAACTACGAAACGCGAGCCAAAGTGTGGTTCTATTCTGTGCATATGTATTCGTGACTCGAAAGCGTAACAACCATGGGTAGAATCAGAAGGGCGGTCTTGGACGCTGCGGGCCGTGCGGGGGGGGGGCATACCCACAGAAAAGTTTCTCTAAAAAAAAAATATATTAATCGGATTTCGATTCCTTATGCACTGCTGTGCCGTTTAAAGCAATCTTTTCCAAATCAAAGTTTTTTAAGTTCCAGGAAAAACTACCAATTTTCATCGACCTCGGGCGTTGCGAGGGGTGTATTTGGCCCAAATACACCCCCTGGATCCGCCAGTGGTGACAACATGATACATGTGGTCCGTTTCTTGTGTAACATTGCATGACATTACAAAGCGTACCTTATGACCGCGCTAATTTTGTCTAGCGTTGCTGTCACTCCGCTGTCTCCTCGCATTATTGGGGGACATCTCAGACAGCAATTCAGAAAACAGCGACTTAAAAACAGCGACAGAAAACAGTGGCTCACTCAAAACAACGTATGAACATTGTACGGGCATTTCAAATTCTTTTCACTTCAGCCGAGCAAGGTCTAGGTTTGAGATTGCCGTCTGTAATTGCATTCTAAAGTTTCATAACATTGGTTTTCAATTTTCAAATCCTATCTTGTCTTTACTACATTATGTGGGAAATCAAAGTCAGCTGTGTTTGTCCCGCACCGATTGTACGGAAGTCCGCATGACGGTTGCTATAAATGAGTCATGATGCTTCGACGAACCGATTTGGATTTCCAGGGAAGGGTGACGCACGTACCGAGACCAGTATCTGTTGGCTGTTGACGTTCTTATTGCCGTAACGTGACTGACGGCTTCATACAGGCTGTGTCTACTCTTGCCTAACGTGACGGCTTCATACAGGCGGTGTCTACTCTTGCCGTGAGGCCAGAGAGGACATACCTCTTGTGACGGTGTCAGAGGTCAACCTACGAGTAGAGCCGTAGTGGTGTTACAGATGCTACAAATGACCTCTGCTGTGACGATGGTGGAGAACGTGATACGGTCACAGAGGCGTACTTTTTCTGTGACGCATGTCGACGCTGTACTTGCCGAGAAAGTGTCGAAGAGGAAACAGCTGTTATGTTGGTGACAGAGAAGTCATCCCATATGTTATGGTGTCAAAAGTCATACCTGCCGTGTCGGAATAGAGATCATACCTGCCGTGACGGTGCCAGAATCATATCTTGTCAGAGAGATTGTCAAAGATCAAACCTGCTGTGTCGGGGTGTCAGAGTCTTGCCATGTCATTTTCGGAGGTCATTCTACAATGGCAGTGTCGGAGAGACCGCACCTGACCTGAGTCCTTGACTGTATCAAAAGACAAAAACCGAAGGTTCCAGTTAACTATGTCTGAGGGGTCTGAAAGTTCATAACTGCCGTGACGGTGTCGGAGAAGTCATGCCTGCCGTGACTGACTGGCGGAGAGGGCGAACCTGATCTGTCAATGTCGGGGAGGTCATACCTGCTGATGCGTTGCAGGGCCGTTGCGGTGTCGAAAACGAAAAAGGACACGCCTTACTCCTGCCTGGACAACACAGAGGTCATTTTGCCTTCACAATGTCGAAGAGCGGCCGCACCTACCGCGACTGTGTCGGAAATCATACCTGACGCAGCTCTGTCAAGATCATACCTGCTGAGACATTATTGGAGGGTATTCTGCCTCGGCAATGTCTGAGAGCGGCGGCACCTGCCGTGACTGTGGCGGGGGCAGGTGTGGCCTCCACCGTCCCTCGACATTATCGGTGCCATCGCGCCCGGGCCGCGCCGGCCGGTTGACACGGACATGCATATTTCAGCGTCACATCGACCTCCACCCAAGCAGCAGCCGTCTCAGTTGCCAGGCAACGGCGTCACCAAACAGCGGCACTGATTGCGCGCCGGTGCCGCCTCCGCGCCACTTTCAGCCGCATCGAGACGGCACAGAGCTAAGGAAGGAACGGGCTCGCGGGGGGGAAACCTGCGCACCAAGGGGCTCGCAGTACGCTAAGCCAATGCCGAATGCGTAGGATTGATTCACCAGAACAGTGTGGATGGGGATTGCTTCTCGAGCCAGATGTAATCCGTGAAGAGATTCCGAATAAATAACCTGAGTGAGTAATCACCATACGTGCTGGGATTTAGGCGATAGGTACTAATACCTAGACATATTTATGGGAAAATTTCACTTACCCCAATGAAATGATAAATATAGGTATAATGAACAGAGCTGGGCAAGTGCGTTCCTTTAGTGCGTTCCTGCGTTCTTCCGTACGTACGCACCGCCCTTTTTAGGAACGCAAGAACGCAGGAACGCAAAGTTTTTCAAAGGAACGTAAGTAAGAGGAACGCACCACCCGAAATTTTGAAGCGTTCCTGCGTTCTTGCGGAACCACCCGAAAAATCATATTCCTGCCAATGACCTCTGTGTCAAATGTTTGAAACTCGAGTACGTGTGTTTGCCGGTAGAGGCGCCACTTGTCGGTCGAATCGAGGAAGGCTTGTTTAGATTTAGTGGTGATGTTCACTATTCGATTCGGTTTCAGGCATCAAATGTGTAAAGTAAATATGATAACTTTTACTTAGATACATCTTTCAACTTAACTATTGTTTTTAAGCAGGTCGTATTTTTGTTGAAAACCCTACGGATGATATTGGTAAAACGTATTTCAGATATTCGATTCGGAAAAGAGATGTCGAGCTGCTTTTCGGCCCCGCGTCGCCATTCTGGGTATTCTGTGATCGATTCGCCCCGTGTTTGGTTGGGCCCGCGCCGCGTGGTTCGGCGGTATTTCTTTGTCCACGACTTCGGTTGTGAAGAACACGCCTGTAGTGTTGGACTGGCGCGATTTGCCTACTTTGTCCGCTACAGTGTTGCGTTGCACTGATTTTGGTATGATTTGCTGCTTGGTAGGGCCAGAATACAATACGGGATAACAGTTTGGGACGCAGGAACGCAGGAACGCTAACGCACCGAGCGAAAAAATTGAGGAACGCTATTCCAGGAACGCACTAACCGCGGCCGGAGGAACGCAGGAACGCTAACGCACTACCGAAAATCGAGGAACGCGCCCAGCTCTGATAATGAAGTTGTGCGAAAAGCTCTACGGTGGGAATGACGCCACGAGAATAGTTCCAAGGCCTTCCAAGATTTTTTTTCCGAATTCTTACCAAAGTGTCAGTCACTTTGGTAATCAGAGTCCTGTCCTTGTAAGCCTGGTCTAAGCCATCCCGGTATGCATTCAGCCTCCGTTTACAAGTGTTTTCTGAGCAGAGCACCTGAAGCACGCGGGTGTGACGGCACGTTATACTAAGGCCTAACTATGTGTATTTTGCCTTTTACCTTTTTTTTTGCTTAGGTGGCAGGGTGTGATAGTCTGTGCTGCTACGAATGTGATATCTCATGTCGCTAGCTAATCCATTTTTTGTGTCCCTTTTGCATTGTTAAAACAATGAAGACTTATTTGTCCGGAAACAGAATGTTGATATGTAAATACCGATTTTGTCGTCTCTCATGAACAATATATCTAGGTAGGTTCCCATGGGCCACGGGAACTTGCGACCCATAAGTTCCTATGCGACTGCAGTCGCAATAACTCATGCAAGTCGTTCGTTATATTCTCTCGGCCCCCAACAACCCGTGTGCATAGCAACTAAATGAGTTGTGACCTGTCGCTTACCAACCGTTCCTCGGCAGACGGGGATGCCGGCGTGCGGCGGCGCCCTCTCTGCATGGCCCGGCTGCTGAGTGTCCTCCGGCGCGCCGTGCAGCGCCCCCGGCCCTACAGCGGCGCCCCTGAGCCCTCGCGCCGCCGACGCCCCCACCGCCGGCCATGCCGGGAGGCAGGAGGGGCCTCGTCGCCCCGCAAAACACCTTCCTCGAGAACATCATACGTCGGTCGTCATCGCAACGTGAGTATTACTAGCGCTAGACGCGCTCACTGCACAGTGCACCTGCAGCCTTTCAACTCCAGACGTACCGAAACCGTATGCGCAACTCAAGAAAACGCACCACTGCATGCGTGCAAAATGCACATGTTAACTCCTGAAGCGCCCACTGCACGCCTGTTATGCCAACGCTAGCTAAGCCAACTCCGGGGCATCATCCGCACGGCGCACGCGTCAAGCACGCATAGAATGTCAACTCCAGACACGCCCTGCATGCATGGTATGCCAACTCCAAACGCCTGAAATGTCAACTGGTAATTAGGGAGCGTCATGCAGTGGCGTGAACTCATTGTTACGTGACAAAAAAAAAAAATAGGCGGATGTTATCTGGAAACTCTTGTAAAATTTGTGTCGTTCTTGAATTGTATCTGCTTACGTCTTTATTGAGACACATATAGGCATCATTCCTAAGTCGGAGTCTATAAAGTTCATTTTTCTTTTTGTTATTTTTCGTAATCGCTGAGCAAGCATGACATCATTCTTTAGGATTGAATGATTTGCGACATCAGTTCGGTCCCATTCCTTGATGTGGCTGTAAACACTGCATGTGATGCTGTAATGCTTGTAGAGCAGTAGTAGTTATGAGCCCAGGGGCGTAGGCAGGGGGGGGGCCACTGGGCCATGGCCCCCCCCTTGGGCGCCGAAGGCGCCCTTTACGATTGGAGGGCGCCGAAGGCGCCCTCCAATCGCAAATGCAATTGTGATATAATCGAATCGAAAAACAATCGCGACTGGAGGGCGCCCTCCAATCGCGAATGTGTTTACAGGGAAAATACGGATGGAGGGCGCCCTCGGAGGACGCCCATTCCAAATACGCCCTCCAAATACGGTTGGAGGGCTCCCTCGGGCGCCCTCCAACCACATTTGTAGGCTGTAGCTCTCTAAGCGTAACGGTGGTCGCCTATGTAAGCCGCTGTCCTGTAAATAAGCGCCCTCTCACCCGAAGGCGCCCTCCTGTAGGTCGCCACCCTGCTACACATTGCCGCCCTTCTGCTGATCGGCGTCCTCATAATTATTGGCGCTCTCCTACCTATTGAGCCCTCATGTGAAATTTTGAAGGCCGCCTTTCTCCCTTTTGGCACCCTCTTGTTCAGTGCCGCCCTCCTACCTATTGGTTCCCTAGTCCTTCCTGTTGAATGTTAATCGGGGCCCTTCTATTGGCGCCCTCGTGTAGATCGCCGCCCTCCTAACCACTGGCACCCTCCTGTTGATCACCGCCCTCCTATCCACTGGCACCTTCCTGTTGACCAGCGCCCTCCGCACAGACGCCCTCCTGTTCGTGTCATCCTCTTGAGCAAAGGCGCCCTCCTCACCATTGCCACCCCCATTTTAATCGTCACCCTTCCGCTCATTGGCGACTTCCAGTTGATGACCGCCCTTACACCTATTGGCGACCTCTTGTTGATCGCCACCCTCCTATTGGTGCTCTCCTGTTCCTCGCCACCCTCTTACCTGGTGGCGCCCTCCTGTTGATTGTTGATCGGCGCCCTCCTACCTCTTGGTGCCCTCCTGTTGATCGCTGCCCTTCTATCCATTGGCGCCCTCCTGCTGCTCGCCAACTTCCTACCTATCGGTGCCCTACTGTCGAAACTCGGGATGTTGATCGGGGCTCTTCTACCTATTAGTGCCCTCCTGTGGATCGCAGCCCTTCTACCTATTGGCAACATCCGTTGATCGCTGCCCTCCTATCATTTATTTACTCCTTTGGCATGTTTTTCAACTTAGTCGTTCTATTGCACATAGTTGATGTCTTGCCTGTGAAAACTGCCACAAATGAACGTGCATTCAGCACAATGAATGAAGTATCTATACCTACCAAAACTATCTACGCTCTACGATGCATAAAACACGTCTTTGGTCTTAACGAATTGATCCTACTTTACGTACATCATGGCATCTATATGGATTACGATTAAGTATTGTCAACAGGTTCGGGCGCAACAGCAGGCATCTGAAGTTTCGGTGATTGAAACTGGTTATGTGGGTACACTGTATGCATCTGTGAGAAGGCTATGAAGGCTGGTCTGAGGTAATTTGGATGATGTTTACGCAGCTCGCGCTCCGGTATCAATCCGATACGGTGATCTGGTGCGTAGATATGCCACCGCCAATAAACTTTTATACATCGACACCCATGAGCCAAGCTTTCTGTACAGTTTGTGTGGCAGCGGCCCGACCAAACCTTAGGTATTTTTTACACCTTCAAATTTGGTAAAAGAGCGAGAGGAGCTTTGAACAGTGATCGTATAAAAGGCGTGCCTAAAAAGCGGAGGAAAAGGTTGTTTTCAAAAATTTCGCGCGCCTTCGGCGCAGCATTTCAAGAACACTTGACCTTTTGTGACCTGGAGTATAATGAATACACACGATGCAAAATCAATGCAGCACGACCTATACGAGGTTACGCAAAAAAAAAAAACTGGTGGCATGGTAAAAAACGCCTCCCAACCCCCCAACCCCCACTGAGCGATTTTTTATCTCGCGACCGTATGGCGCCCTCCTTGGGTGAGGTGGCGCCCTCCAAACCCTTGCCCCCCCCCTTCGCGATTTTCTAAATACGCCGCTGTATGAGCCTCCTTTGACTCGTGAACGTCATGTCTTCATAATGTCAATGTCTTTACGTCTAGTTGGCGTCCGCTTATGTCATCAATACGAGAGAATGAGGAGCGATTATGTAATAACTGTCGATATTATGCAATTATAGATCCCCGACAATGCGTGACCAAAGTAGGTATCATTTTTCACCATTTTGACAGACAATTTCATCCCAAATTACCTCCCGTTAAGACTCATAAGATCTCAGCGGATATCAAGGGACAATCGGCAGACGTCCGACACAGAACCTCTCCGTCCTTTCCCGAGTTCTTGTCGACATCGACGACCGCTGCGTCGTTGCCGTCGCCGGCGCGATGTCAGCGGCCGTCGTGGCCTCAAATCCGATTATCGGCGCCCGCACCGCACCTGGGACGGTGGCGGGTCCGGTGACGACTGATGACCACTTGGCTCAGATGGCCAGGAGGATCCGATAGCCGGAGACCAGAGATCACCACCGAAATACCGCCGAGCTCGCGTGCATGGAAAGTGGAAATGGAGCTGTCAGATATCGAAAGATGGTGGAGTCATGATTTTCACCGCTTACTACTAATTTTGTGCAATGCCGAATCCGCATTATTATGCATTTGTTGGAACTTTGGCTGATTCTTTGGATATGAAACGCTACATTCATTCGTTTGCTTTAAATAATGAAATTCTTATCATGCGCAGTATTTCTGTCATGAGCAGCGAAATGGGACGTCATTGTCAAGGAAGAGCTACGCCGAGTGGTTCGCATTTAAGGAACATTTTACGTGCTTCGTATTTAGAGAACATTTTACTGAATTTAGCTGGGAACATAATTGGCTCTCCTTGTTCTGTGCAGCCACATCATCCGATTTTCGCACAAATCTTCTATGTCAGCTGCAACCGTTTCGTTATAGCAACAACCCGCCAGGTCCGCGACGGGTAAAGGGTGCGTCCGTCATTCCGCCTTCTACACCCGGCGTGATACTTCTCCCTCACACTCAGAGCTCTCCTCCACTCATCCGTAAAACGCTCTCACTCCATCCGTCACTTGTTAACGCACATTCCGCCGTTCTCATTCCACCAGCATTCCACCGTCCACGCACCTTTGTCGTCGCTATTTCCAGCTTCTGCACGTCCTGACTGAAAACCTTTCCTTCGACTCGAACAGGCCTACATCCCAGCATTTCGTTTTCATTTAGGCCTGTGCCATCTGTCAGCCGTCATGCCTTGTTCGCTCTCCGGCTGCGTGCCGCGTCTTTCCCCGTCGGCACGGCGTTCCCCGGGGCTCGACACAGCGAGTCGCGTGGAGCGCGGCTCGCCACCCGTTCTCTCCGCTTCGTCATTGATTGGTCAGCTATTTCGGGTACTCCAGAGCCCGGCGCCGGGTATTTTGAAGTGCGCAGTCTCGTGGGACACAGTGGCACGACGGACGACGCGGGATGGACTCTGACTTTGCGCAGCTGGTGATGGGGATGGGATGTCGCCAAGCCGGCTGTCGCTCGGGGTGTTCGGCCACCGCGCAGTCTACTAGTAGGTCAAAAGGATGTCTAGTGCGCGAGGCTTATAGGGCATGCAAAGAGACTAGAGAGTCAGCTGTCCACCGAAAACTGCATGATAGCATGGGAAGCGGGTGGGAAACCCAAATCTGGGAGCAGTGTTCGCTTATTTCTGTCTAAAACCACTGTGGATCCGAAGGTCAAACAGAGTGCCCCGATGGGCGCCGCGCAGACACGTCAACTGGTCTCCAGCTGGTTTATGCTCCTGGAAATATCCAGCAGAATTTGCAGAAAGGGTTTGGTGGGCCATTTGTCAGCTCAGGCCGGTATCAATTGGATGTGGCGAAGCTTTTGAGCACAGCTGCAGCGGTATTTTACGGCGACCTCCCACCAGCTTGTCTTCAGTCGTGAAATGGGGGGAATGTCGATTTTATTGGCCAGTTCATAGGTCAGGAACTAATATGGCATTGTGATTCATGGTCGCATTTAACGAGAGCAGACACCAATAAATGTTTTGATCATGGATTCTCGTTTCCTTTTGTGACAGCGCGCCTGCTCTAAATCAGATCGGATGTCAGACACTGTCGGACACATTTCCCGGAGGTCTTTCCATCAGTCCAGTCGCGTCTGCCTTAGAGAACTCGTTTGTAAATCAGGGGATCAGGAGTCATACTGGTGTGAACAGTGGACAGAGGCTCTCGCAATGATGAAGTCGCCACTTTCCGTCGCCGTCCGTTGTTGGGGTCGCCGGGGTCGTTGATTCCGTGTTGGTGCGCCGCGGTATTGGACATCGGATCCAAATCGATGGTCACCGCACAGTGGATCGACACGGGCTAATTGGACATGGCTAGCGGCCCTGCCGGCAGCGACAGTCACATCTCACGGTGCAAGTGAAGGGCGCAGCCCCCC